TATAAAATCAATATAAAAAATACGTTTTTAGTGGTGGTGGGTGTTGAAATTTTTTATCTTGCCTAAGTGGGCGGTAAGCCAAAAAGTTTGGGAACCTATGCTCTACATCTTCGTACATTACCGTACAAACGGTATCAAATTGCCAAAATCAAATTGGAAAATCGTACGGTGTTTATGTGAACCACGCAGCTTAATAACTTCAGGCAAAAGTGGCAACGGGATTCTACCGGGAGGCGGAAGAGACTCTTCTCACAATGCAGGATGAGAACATGCGGAGCTCGTTCACGTTCCTCGCCTGCCTGTGCCGCTGCCACGTCATGAACAAAGACGCGCATCTTGCTTGGGAGATCTGCATTAAGGTATCTTTTTATCTGACTACTTAAATTAGATATACTTACTTAGCACTGATTTCACCTTCACGTACCAGCTGTTGCTAAACTAGATTCTAATTAGGGTAGGTTAGGTCTTAGGGTAGGTAATTTGGTAATCAGTTCATATTCTACAAACAAAAACAACGAAACTTTTTTCAAAAAGTATGCAATGTAGTACGTAAAACTACTTAAATAACAAAAAGTACAATTGTAATGGAAAGCTTTGAAAAGTGTTCATTGTTATAGTCAGCGGGTACGCCAGACAGTTTCGCACTGCTGCAACTGGTGGCCAACGACAGCTACCGCATGGGGCAGTTCCTCGTGGCAGCTAAGGCTTTCCACATGCTCGACAGGTAGGCGGTCTCTATATTTGCGTTAGGTGTAATCTACAACTAACTGCAAAAACTAAATTTTTAAATTAGTTCAACAGATTTTCAGGAAATCTTGGTTGATAACGATAATGAGTAAGTGTGAATGTAGGCATAAAAATAACGATATCATTTGAAATTTTTATTGAAATGTAATTCAATGATTTTTTGTGTGAAATTACTCCACTAGTTTATTATAATGATTATTACAAAGATCGAACACTGAGAAAAAATTCCTTCGATCCGGCCGGATTCGAACCGACGTCTTCTAGCATACCGTGTCAAATGTTATACCAACGAAGCCACGGAACCAACCAGCGAATATCACGAATTTTTCTATGTGCTTGTTGTCATGTCTTTGTTTTTAGTTTTTTCAGCGACTGTTTAGCCGTGATATACGTGAAAGCGTGGTAAATGGGCGCTCAGTACAGTTGCACCTCTGTAGCTGAGTGTATTTATCTACCTAAGTACTTAGTGTTATCCTGAATATGTAGATTGATTATATTTCCTCCTGTAGATTGGATGGCGGGCCAGAGATGTGGGAAGGTCTCCGAGGCGCGGTATGTGGGTGTGCACAGATGGCGGCAGCGGGACGTCCCAACGCCTCCGCAGATTTGCGCGAGGCACTGGATCTGCTCAAAGGACACAGGGCACATCCACGAGCGGACCAAATAGTACGCCCTATAACTCGCTGGGCCCAACAGAGTCGAATCTCTATTTAATTATCTAATATAGGATACCTATAACAAACAACGCCAACGTAAAAACACTTACGTCACACTGATCAAATGCTGTTGCAAATGCGATCACGTAGCTTGACTACACTGACTGACCCACACCCTACACTGACCCACCCGAAAATATCAATGATGTACAACCGGGTTGCAGTTCATGGGATATGACAAAGAATTACGACACTATTTAGAAGGTTTAATTTGAATATTTTTTAAAATTTTGAAGTCTGCTTAATGGATGAATATAGTTTGGTTTTAATTTAAATTATAGTCATGTTAAAATGTTTCTATATTTTTTATAGAAAGTTTTTTCTATATTTTTAAGATTAATTGTTGATTATTATTCTTTTATGGAATTTAAGGAATTTACATTACAAATTTAAATTTACAAAATCATTGACACAAAGTGTCAATGGTTTTATTTTTATTGTGTTAAATCTCCAATATTATAATAACCGTATCTGGGGGTCTACTCTTGATCTCCGTCCGACATCCGTCCGAAACAATTACTGTCAAATAAGTAATATTCGACAAAATTAAATGACAAGTATGAAGCTTCATTCGCATCACGCGTCTTTTCATTTGGTCAAGTATTGCTTATTTGGCATATAGTAATTGTTTCGGACGGATGTCGGACGGAGATCGAGAGTAGACCCCTGGCTCAAATTCGCCAGTTGCAAGATTGTGTAGAACGGTAAATAATTACAGTGACATTATTGATATTCACCATGACTCTCCCTCAGCACTCGTAAAAAAAAATTTAATTTATTAAGTTCAGTCAAATAATTCAATCGCAAAAGTAGTGTATACATCAATTTCTATTCATATTCTTATTTCTCAAAAGTGTAAGTGTTAATTTTATTTAAAATTTTAGTTAAACCTAGTTATGTATTAGTGCATGTTGTGTTTACCTCTAAGTGTTTGTGACAATTACATCGCTTGTAAAGGTATGATAAGATATAAAATGTAATATTGGACACAGATGTTGGTAAACCTAATAAATAAATAAAATAAAAATAATAATTATAATTCGATTTGTTTCATTGTACTCATTGTGACCAAAGTCTTTTTCACAAATAGTGGTTCGTCTTACTGGGCTAAATAAATTAAAAACTTTTTGTGGAAAATGTCGATTATGTGGTTTTACCTTTAAACAGACGATATGTCACTGTAAATACTTCATGTTACGACTATGCGGCGTTGAGTATTGCTATTTTTTTCCTATATCTATGGTATTACTCGACTTTAACAATATTTACTCAACTCATTTTCAAGATCGAAAATATACGTACATTGCGTCTAAACACTTCTGCTATAATAACATCAGAAAATTTCGTATTGTTATGTAGACTATTATTACATTTACCTTTAGGAAACGTAAAAAAGCATTAAAACTCTGTATGTGGTGTAAAAAAATTGCATTTATATAGTATCAACTAGAGTATTTACAATACACCGCGTCAAGATCAAGTCCGTAGGCAACAGTCAAGCAGTACGAAAGTAAACAATCGGCAATATCCGTCAATCGAGCAAAGTCTTCTTCATCATTGTGTTGCTTAACGAAGTATTTCAATGATTTTACATAAACCTAGAAAAACGTCTAAATCATGACCATATATAGGAGGAAATTTACTTCAATTCTAAATGTTACTCATTAGTATTTGCCAAGCGTTTTAATATAAACATTTGCCTTAACGCCCGTTCCATAGATTGCTTTTAACTCTGCTATCACTACAGAAAGTAGCGTTAAAAATAATTTTATTAAAACTTTTAATAGAACTGACCAACCACCCCAAAACCAAACTCATATCACAGTCGTCGTATTTTTTTATAATTTCAAGTAACGGGACGAACAAATCGCCTGATGGTAAGCGACACGCCTATCCATAATAATTGCAGTGCCACTCGGAGTTTTAAATCGCAAAGATTTGAGAGACACTGCCACTGCGCCCGTAACCCTGAGACATAAGTTGACAAGTCCCATGTGCCTGTAATTTCACCAACCCCCTTACCCTTCGAAACCGGAACACAGTAATGCTGACATTACTGCTTTGCGGCAGTAATAGGTAAGGTAGCAGTACTTCCCTGGACAAATATTTAATTATTAATATATAATTCGTATTGACTAGCCGTGTTGTTATGTCCTCTACAAAAAAGTCTTGCATTACCAACAAAATAATATCATTATTTACATTGACGTACAAATCAATATAATTGTAAGTCAATGATTATTTATCAAAAATACTAATAATTAACAAAACCTACCTAAAAAATTCAAGCGTTCTTGGAAAACGTAATGACTCTTAACGTACTACATACGTTAAGCAACACAAGCATTCTAGTTTAATCTCGTGTAGATTTAACCCCAAGGGTGGGCGACAGCTGGGAGGGTGTATCTGGCGACGGGGGCAGCTACAGCCACAGGCGCTGGAGCCACTACTTTGGCAACGGGAGCCGCCACCTAAACGAAGACAATGGGTGGAAGATTAAGCGTTTATTGTAGCTTATTAGAGCGACAATTTTCTTTATAGCTTACCGTTTTTGGAGCTTATTGTTTTGAAACAGTGCTTTTGTCTGACATTTATTATTCGATTAATCTAGGTGTACTATCTCGTTGAAGTCTTCTTTTTTTAGGTATTAGCGGAAAAATGTACATTTCCTTAAAATGGTTGGCAGTAAGCAATAACTATGGAAATTTATCATCGATATATTTTTACGTCTAATGAATATTTATTCTCTCGTTTCGAGTTCTTAGGTTTTCGTGATTGTTACACATAGGGAGTGAAACTATTTAAATCGCGTATATTGGTTTTTTCAAACAAATCAACGTTTCGGGCCCTTTACAGGTCCCATAGTAGTCAACCGTGACCGTGTTTGAAAAGACAAATATACGCGATTTACTTACTTTCTTTACACAAAGCAGCTATCAAGAGTACATTATAAGATTAGGTCATTTGGTATTGTTTACGTACAGATGTTGTAGGGGATGACTTACCGCATGAGCGCCACCAGTTCTCTCTACGACAGCATTAAAGCCGTTGATCTTATCAGCAGTATAAGTGACTCTCCTTAGATGACCATCAGGCTCGACAAGGCTATATGAGCCATGAACCACACCGTTCTGTAAGGTTTCAGACGCGTCCTTCTGATCTCCCGTAGTGGGGTCTGCGACACCGTATGCAAAACTGTAGGCAGGGTTCGGGTCCACAGGTTCTGCGCGGACAACCTAGATACCAAATATCTACAATTAGATACTTAAAATATTAGCTACAAAGTAATTTCGTTACTTATTTCACATACAATCATTAAGTTATTAGTACCTTTTCGTTTCTTGATTGTTCCTTTGAAATTACTTTTTCTGTAAGGTTGAAAGTTTTCAAACTTCTAGTCAAACTACGTTAATGTACTAACGATACGGCACAATGAGCTCGATTCTCGTAGATAGAGACGAATTACTGGTGACATAACTTCAACAAAAGGTGCAATTTGTACTACCGGGGCAGCATGAACTACTGGAGCGGAGTAAGCTGGGGCGGCATGAACCACAGGGGCGGCAAATGCTGGTGCGGCATAAGCTGGTGCGGCGTAGCCTGGTGCCAGTCCGATGCCATCGTAGATGCCAGGCGCGGCCACGGCCAGCCCGCAAACACACCACAATATGGATAACTAAGAAAAATACCGAAAAAATAGATAACTTGAATGCCTACTTCAAATTTGTTAAAAATGATGTTATAACCCAAAAATTTAGGTACCTTATATAAAAGTTTTAAATAGACAATACAGAGATTTCAGAGATTAAAATTTGAAAAACAATATTTTCTATAGATTCCTTCCTGTATCCTATACATTTTATACAATCTAAATTAAATTGATAGCGTACCTTGGTGAGCATGTTTGTGGTGCGCGCGTTTAGGACCAAGAAGTACATGTGGCAACCTGAGCGCATGCGTGGTTTATAAACCTGTGCAGGAGTGGCTGCACTTGATACATATTTCGCAACCAAGGATAAGGCATATGCGGCCTAACGAGACGCTTGTCTCATACAAGCCTTGTACGATAAGGCGTCGACCACGGCGGGGACCGGAAATGTATCTACAATAATCATGAGTAGAAAATTGTATTTCTTTTCAGTTCCAAAAAGATTTATCGTTATATTTATTCAGTCAGTGCATGGGTTCTTGGTCCGATAAAATATCATTCGGTAATATAGTAGAATCTATCAAAGCTTATTTTCAGCATTATGTTGCCGTATTGGTACATTGAAAATGTTATTTATTTTCTTTTACTTGCATGATGCAATTTTCGAAGGTACTTTAGGTATCAAGATTTGTTCGCATTTATTATCTTTGAATTCAATTGGGGTCTCCAAGGACTGTTCTACTTGTCACTCGTATATGTTTCTATTTACATAATTTATAGGCGCCCAGTACTAACTTTAACCGAACCTAGCGGTTGTTAATTGCATACATTTAGTCTCACTCACTTTTAAGTTAGCCTTAGCACCTTTAGATATAAATTTTGGTTGTATAGTTAATATCGGGGTTACTAATTATCATTAAGTATTATTTGTAATTTACATAATCTCCAGGTAACTACAATAATGAGCAGCGTCGGAACAAAAACCGATATGTCAAATTTGACTTGTTTTTTTTTAATGCCAAACGTTAGTTTTTTGTACGTTTCCATGAATAATTTTAGTAGCAGGAAAGCTCCTTGTGAAAGAGTTCGCCCTTGGAAGTTCTGCCACTTTACCTGTTACTGCGCTTAGGTTCGCCCTTGGAACTTCTGTCACTTTACCTATTACTGCGTTTCGGTTTGCCCTTGGAAGTTCTGCCACTTTACCTATTACTGCCTTTCGGTTTTGAAGAGTTAAGGGTGCTCGTGAAATTACAGGCACATGGGACTAGTTAACTTTACGTCTCAGGGTCAAGGGCGCAGTGGCAGTGCCCCTCAGATCATTGTGATTCAAGCTCTGAGTGGCACTGCAACTGATATTGACTGGCGTGTCATTTACCACCAGGCGCACGACTTGTACGTCCCGCCATTAGGCATAAAAAAAAACATATCCAACCTGAACAATAATCTCTCCATTTGTATATATATAATCCGTGCATTTGATATGTATTTTGAAGGAGGATGTCCTCCTTCAAAATACGTTTCAAATGCACGGATCGAACACAATGCGACAGATCCATTCGATGAGACTAGACGAAATTAGAATCTTAATTTATCGGATTTATGTTCGGAACTTCGCATTGTAGTTGTAGTAGTTAGTCACTAGTTACTCAGTGTAGTTACTCACTAGTTAGTAACTCATTAGTTTGTAGAGACAGTTATCCATAAACGAGTATGATTTTGAGATTCCTTTTAATATTATTTATTTTTAATAAAGAATATGTTTCGTTTGTGTACATCATCATCCTCGCAATATTTATTGATATTACTATTAATCGATAAATGTTCCAACATTTTTACCTTAATACTAGATGGTAATTGTTGGAATGGTAATTGTTTTAATACAGTTATTGAATTCTCGGTATAAAATAACTATTACTACTATTCGAGACAAGCGGTACGTCGCGAACAGATGGCAAACGCCCGGAAGTAATGACTCTCATCTCTCATCCCTTGGAGTATGGGCCGGGCACTGGTGTGATACGCCACATGTGCCCATCTCCAGCACACCAGCAAGAGGGCTGGCTCCGCAGCTGAGCAGGCGGAAAGAATAAAAAGTAATAAGTACCAGGATCTCGGCTCCGACTACCTATTTACAGCCTTTGCAGTCGAAACCCTTGGCCCGTGGGGTCCCAGTGCCCTTCATCTGTACAAAATTTTATCGCAAAAATTAATAGACTCTCTGGGAAACCCAAGGGCCGGCAGCTATCTTGCCCAACGCATGACCAGAGCAATAAAAAGGGGGAACGCTGCCAGCATCTTGGGCACCGTGCCGCGGGGACCCAATTTTATTCATATAATTTAAAAATCCTAGTTTTACTTTCTAGTAGTTAAGCTTTTATTGTCTTTTTTACCTTACCTGTATATTATCTTAATTAAATACACTTAAGGGCCTATCTGTATTATTATACTTGCTTATTAGTATGCAAAAACTTGTATAAGCGCTAAAATCATTCTAATAGTCGCTATTCGAGCGGGACATGTTTCGCATAGGTGAACGCTACACTTGAACAAATGCAAAAAAATTTTTTTTTACATTTCTTATGCACGTATAACGTTAATCTCTATGAAGCTATACAATATATATTCTACTAGGTACTCCTATATGCAAAACATACTAAACTATTTTTCGAATGAAAACCGCGTACATGTCTTTTTTTCAAACAATCCAAAACGTTTCGGGCCCTTTACAGGTTCCACGGTCATAGCTCAATGAAATAGTATCAACATCAATTGAGTAAAGGTAGCATTCTTATTATCCACACTCATGTTATTTACCTACTTAACCCTGAACCACACCCCGGACACTCTATACAACGGTCGAAAATTATTTACCTACTACTACTACATACAGCACGGCGCTATCTGCACACGCGCAAATGTGTACGTGAAGTGGCAGGGTTACCTATCACTTGCTCGTACTATTTATTATGTTACGTGGTCAGAGCGGCAATCTGTTATCTACAATTCAATTATAGAATCCTAATAATTACACATGTTCATTACGTATTTATAGCGATATGATATTATATTTTTCATTAATTCTCTAACTGGAATAATATTGACCCACCCGCGACACACGGTTTCCCTAGTGCGGGGCTATGTTGAGGCGTTATTATTATTATTACTTAACCATTTAATGCCTCTTCTGTAAATGACTGTAAATGACACAAAGGCCCTCTTAATATCTTACTGTCTTTAACTATCTACTCAGGTAGTTATTATTATTATACCTTCATAAATCTTTGAATTATTTTTTATGTAACTTATATGGTCACAAGTCAAATGTAGGTATTCATAGTGTACTCAAGCCAAAACCTAGATAAGGTCGAACACACGATAATTCGCATTTTTTATCGACAGCATTCTATTTGAAGGCGATATAACCGTCACGTGCGTCTATATACATTTTGGGTTAATGGCGGACTTTTGCAGCGTGTCCCAAATACGTACGCAGGTCTGCGTCTTAGTATTCAAGTTTATTAGCTAATAATAAATAAAAATATATTGCATAAATTACTATTCGTGAAGGAAAAATCTATTAAATCTAATATGTTTGTATGTCCGTTCTGAAAATGTTTTGTGTTTCGTGGATTTACCACCCACAAAATTTTTTTCTTACGTATTCTGTGCTACCTATTATGGGCTTATAGTCCGAGGGTTCTTTCTTACCTAATATAAATGTGGTCAACGATGCGTAAAAGTAATTTTTATAGCATCTTTGAGGCAATCTCTACTAAGTTGTATGGTAAAGTTTGCTGAATAGAAGTTTACATATAATCGAAAGGACTATAGAACCCTTTGCGATCAGGCCATTGAACACGTTTGATCTCAAAGTAGGTCACATTCTAAACGAACATATGCGAGCTGGTTTGAAATTCATAAGTCGCCGCGCCCACACATTTGGAGCATAACTCCACCTGGTGAATAGCTCGGTGTTTTTCAAAGACTAAAAGGTTTTATAAAAGGAATAGAGAAGAATAGAGATATTGTAAATTTCTTCAGCACGTTCACTATCCGAAGATACGAATGGATACCAAAAATAGTAAGAGTACTGAATCTTTCGAATTAGTGGAATTTATCTAAATGAGTATCTAAACAGCATCTCCTGACAGTTATATCTAACGTTTTTAATAATAATAATAATAATAATAAATTCAAAATTAATTTTTTAGGCCTTGGGAGAGGCGAGAGTTTAAAATAAATACGAAAATAATAATAATAATAATAATATTATTATTATAAAGTTTTTTGAACTTAGTTTAACAACATCCTAAGTAGTAACGGACGTGATTAGGTATACACATTAATTTATGTGAAGGTCAGGATACGTGTTAGGTAAGGCTTTGCATCGTTTTCATTGTAAAAAAAAATGGATTTACTGTTTTCAATCAAAATTATAAACTGATTTTCCGAAAAACTATTCTTCATTTTTGTGTATTTTGGTACATTTAAGTTGTAATTTGTCCTTATTTTCCTGTTTACAACGTTAAAAAAAAATCGCTAGCGAATTTCGCGAATTTAGCGAATCGAAAGCGATTTTTTTACCAACACGAAATATTTTAGAGCAACGTTATATTATAGCGTTAGTGACGTAGCCATGGCTTCGAGCCGTATTTCATTATTGACGGTTCACTCTTTTTGTATGTGTCATTTGTTTTACTTTACTTACAGTTGTCGCTATTTCACATGGAAATCCGTCGTAGCGCCTAAGTCGTTGAAAAACCAAATACAAAAACAAGACGCAAGCACGAAGAAAAATTCGTGAGGTCCGTTGGTTCGTTCCGTGGCTTAGTTGGTATAGCGTCTGTATGCAAGAAGACGTCGGTTCAGATCCGACCGGATCGAAGGATTTTTGTCTGAGTGTTCGATCTTTATATTAATAATTATAACAGCAGTATACTATTTGGGTAACTCCTGTATCAACCAGAAGCCACACAATAGAAAAACTCGGTGCCTCAAGGTTCTTGAGACGCTTGACACAGATGTCATCACGAACGTACACACAGACTCGGGCACGAGGTAGGAACGTGTGCTCCAGAGTATACCCTGGGTAGCTGAGGTACGCCGTGTCAGTCGGACATCTGATCTGCGTCTCGGTGTGGAACAGCAGCTGCGGTTTATCGGTTTCCAGGTGGTGGTGGACCGCTTCGATATTTGAGTGCAGCCCTCTGATGTTGGTGAGGTGCACATTTAATGGGAGGACGTGCAACCGCTGTGAGAAATGCATTCCTTTTCTGTGACTCATAATTTTAAATTGGAGAAGCG